TTTTTTTTTTATGTATTCGAAAGATGAACGCCTCCTCCTCTCTCTCTTTGTAATCGGTATCACGAATTCTTTTTTTTACTTATTTATTTATTCCTTTATTTTAGTATTATTATTATTATTACTTTGACCACTCTTTTCGACTCACCCCCTTTTCCTGCATATAACACACACGTTTAACCAGTTAACACATTATTTTTTTTTCCCCATTTGTTCAACATCCTTACTTTAATTTTTCATTTTATATCGTAATTATCATCTCTTTGTTTCATTATTATTAATTGTTATATTAATTTTTCTTTTTCCTCTTTTATTTATTCTTTTATATCTCGCGAAAAAACTGAACTTGAACTTAATTGACCAGTCACGTCGTGATACCCCTTTTTCTTTTTTTTTTTTTTGTATTTTTCTTCTCTTCCTTTAACCTTCTTCTTCACCCTCTTCTTCTTCTTCTTCTTCTTCGTTTGGATTAATTTTATTATATTATTTTGCTTTTAATTCACCCATACGGCGATTGATTGTAGAGTTGTTGTTGTTGTTTTTATTTTAGTTTTTTTTTTCTTCTTTCTTTCTTTCTATCTTTTTTATTCAGAATAAAATACGACAAAGATTGAAACATCGGATGGTGGTGGTACCAAAGATTATTATTATTATTATTATTATTATTACTCATTCGCATTTAAGAATAAAAGAAAAAAAAAACCAACCTCGCATTATTAACGTCAATTCTTTGTCGTAATTTTTAAAGATGTTCTCATAATATATATTAATTAATTAATATAGTTGTTACACTTTTGTTGTTGTTGTTGTTTTTTTTTTTTTTAAATTTCTATTATAGATCGAATACGCGAAATAATTATCGCGTAATTTTCTAACTGTGTTATTTAATTTGAACGTTCGTATTAATTTAACAACACCCCCATCATTTTTTGCGAACATTAAAACAAATCTGGTTTCTTTCTTTTTTTTTTTTTTTTTTTTTACAAATGTACGCTCTGCTTTTCTCTCGTTTTTTTTTTTTTGCTTATTTTAATTGATTTCATGATAAACCCTTTTAACCGATCTTTTTAAACACACTCACGCAACACATCATCGTAACTCGATACTTATTGTTGTTCATTCTTTTTTTCTGGCTAACGCATACTTCAATTTTTTCGATGACTACCTCTCTTCCTGCCTAGTTTTTTTTTCATTCGACCTGCCCACGATTTACAATTTAGTCAGAAATTCGACTCGTTGGAACAAGGTAGACGACACCATCTTTTTACATTATTATTATTGTTATTATTATTACGCACACACATTGTATTATGCTTATTGTTTGTTTGTTTGTTATTTCTTTTTTTTTTATCCTTTTTTTTTTTTCTTTTTTTTCTTCTTTTTTTTTTATTATTATCTTAACTTCGATATTCACTGTTAACACATGCATTTAGTTCTTTTTCGCAATCAATTATTAGAACGATTTTTTTTGTAACTTTTTTGTTCTGCTTTGCTTTGTTATTTTTTTATTTATTTATTATGTTATCTTTTTTTTGGGGGGGAAGGGACTTTTTCATTTTTCTTCTTTTTTTTTTTTCTTTTTTAATTATTTTTTCTTCTGTGTCTTCTTCTTCTTCTTCTTCTTCGTCAATTTTTACATCACGTTTTCGCAAGCACGAGGGTTCGGTTGGATCCTCTTTATAATTTTCCTGTTGTTGCATTATTATTATTATAATTATTATTATAATATTGTTATTATTATTATTATTATTATTATAATTATTATTGTTTTAATTTTTGCATTTTCTTCTTCTACTCAGCATTGTTTATGTTTATTTTCTTTTTTTTTTATTTTTATTTAAATCTGTTTTTTCTGTTGTTACTTTTTGTTGTATGCGAAACGAGCGGTTACGTTTATTCGAATGCAAAAATGCATAAATTAAAAAACCAAGAAACACGCAACGAATATTATTACAAGCTCCACCAGCTTGTGTTATAACTGCTCTGCTTATTGGTTGGTGGTGTATTATAATCATATTTAAAATATTTATTATAATAGAGAATTAAAAAAAGAAAAAAAAATGAAAGAAAAGGTTTACCACAAATATAACAAAACAATAAAATCATAAAGCATATTAATAAAGCATCGTTTAATTTGTAATAAAAAAGAAAACAGAAAAATGAAAAAAAAAGGAATCCAACGAGAAATTATTCCAAGTTCCAATTAAGATGATAATTAATAAATATTATTTATCTATGCCAATTTCGTAAAAATAAAAAGAAAAAGAATTCTTTGATGATTTAATATTTAAATTGGCATCAGACAGACACACAATGTTTGTTACAAACACACCAACGATTGAGAGAAAGTTTCTGCATTAGAAAATAATAAGTATAATAACATAATAACGTTAACGCGTAACCGCACGTTGTATAAATTCTATTTTTTACCCTCCAACTCTTTCCTTTTTTTATTTTTTTTTTTTAAGTTTTTTTTTTGTTTTTTTAGCACCGCATTTACTCTCGCGTGCGCACAACACACTCTACTCTCTCTCTCTCTCTCTCTCTCTTTCGCAATAATATTCTCAAAACCAGCATTTAACTTATTATCTTTCTTTCGTTCTCAATATTAATCGCTACTACTGCAAGTTATTATAAACTCCAATCACGAGTGACTAACAGTGTTATACAAATCAAACACATTATTTCGTTATAATAAACGCTAAACAATGACTCAACACACGGGTGGTCGTGGTCGTGGTGGTGTAGTACTGGTAATTAGCTTTTTCTTAATTTGTTTGTTTCGCAAATATACAATTAATCGGAATCAAATAAAAAATTCTAGGAATGATACGCAATACATACCCGCTCTCGTGGTGGTGGTGGTGGTGGTAGTGGATGATGGTAGTGTCTGTCTCTGAGTGTGCATTTGTGTGTGTAATGTGTTTATGTATGATGTATTGTGTGTATTCATAAATGTATATACATTTACAAGTATAACACATACACGGTGATATATATATATTAATAAATGAAACACTCAAAAGACGATTAATCGTTGGATCTTCCGTTGGCTGATGAACACGCACTAATAGGATTGCAATTATTATAATACTAAACCACTGATTTTCTAATTATATCAATAATTTCATAAATTAATTAATTAATTAATTAATTAATTAATTAATCTAATTATTTAATAAATAATAATAAAATCATAAATTATTGGTTAAGAATAAATTTAATAAAAAATAGATCACGATTGAATGATGAAAAAAAGCGTTAGAGTGGACACATTTCCTTTTTTTTTTTTTCTTTTTTTTTTTTCGTTGGCCCAGCCGCAGGGAGACACCTCGGAGCCATTTTGAAAAAAATATCATATATTTTTTTATTTGGGATATTGATAACTACAAACTAAAATTTCTAAAATATCCTCTCTCAACATGCAAAACGATCTTTTTATTTTCTTTTGTTTTATCTCTCTCTCTCTCTCTCTCTCTTTTTTTCTCTCTTTCTTTCTCTCTCTCTCACTCTCTCATTCCCATTCTCACTCCATTGAAAACAATCAATTACAAATAAAATTTGTATTTGCATTATCAATAGAGTTTGATTTAAGAAAAATTGACGTGTTTTCTTTTTTTTATCTTTTTCTTTCGGCGTTCATATTAATCGAGTCGAATTAAACAAAATACGATTAGTAAATTTTAAATAGAAAAAGAGGACACTTTCTTTTTTTTTTTTTTTTGCATAGGTTGCAACCAACATCGATCAATTTGAACGTCGACAATGCCGTATACATATATATATATATATATATATATATACATATATATATATATATATCGGAATTGTCTAATTATTAGAATTAATTAACACGTTAATGTTTAACTTATAGTTATCAATAATGAGTACAAGATTATTAATCTACGAATAGTCGAGAACCCACCAGGGGTAATAATAATAAAGACGTTAATTATTGTATATTGCTACTTATCTCAATTGTAAAAAAAAAACCTGCTTTATTTATTCTCCCTTTTTTTTCTTTTTTTTTTTTTTTTTTTTTTTTTAACGACGATGAGATGTGATAATGATTAAAATGCTATTTTACTTTGAGTATTGGTAAAAAAAATTTAGAATTTTTATATTCATCTGCCAACGCTATATCGCGTCGAAATTGTGTTGTCACATAATTGTACATCATTATTATTATTATTATTATTATTATTATGATGATGGTTGGTTTCTTTTTTTGTTTTTTTTTTTTTATACCAACGCATTTACATTGATTGGGCGCACATGATTTATATTTGGACTGTTGGTGTATAAGATTCATTAATAAGAAAATATTTTATAATTAAAAAAAAGAAAAGAATTTTTATTAAAATTGAAGAGGAGAAAAAAGGTTTTTAAATGATTATAATTGATTTCTTTCTTTTCTAATACAAATGATTTTTTTTTAACTAATGATTTTCCTCAATCCACGGTACGAAAAGACGAACGATTTGAAAGTTTTATTATTAACTCGCTTTGAATATTCCTATCAGTTTTTTCTTTTTTTAACATTTTTGCAATATATATTTATACTTCGGAAAAATTATGTATAATTACGACCATTATTATTATTTTTTTTTTTTTTTTAAATAAACAGCGCAAAAAGAGAAATGGGAAAAATCTCAACAAACTCGAGAAAAAAAATGAAAAAAAAAAAAAAAAAAAAAAAAAATAAATAAAAAGATATTGTACAAGTAACGTTTTCAATGAGTTTTATGAGAAAAACCGAAAAAGAAAATTAAAAAAAAGAATACGCGCGCACACACATATATATATATATATATGTTATATATAAACATATGTGAGTGCGCGTGTGTATGCACTAATGAATACGATAAAACGTGAACAAAACTTAATCATTTTTATTACTGCAGACAAAACAGTCGCTTTTTTTGTGTTTTTTTTTTGTTTGTTTAATTATTGCTTCGTACAAACGCATCGGTATTTTTTTCCTCATTTCCTATTTTTCTTTATTTATTTTTCCTAAGTAAGAGAGTTCGGTAAAAATTCTATATTATCTGAAAAGAATTTTCATTAGCGATTATCGTTTCAATAACATATGCTTCTTTTTTTTCTTTTTTTTTTTTTTTTTTTTTTTTTTTTTTTCTTTCAAATATTTTGAAACAATTTTCAATTAAAAATTCATTATTACATCTTAAAAAATCAATTAGATTTTAACGCACGCACGCATGCGCACACATACACACACGAGAATTCGTTCATCTTCTCGGTATCGTCGTCCCTATTATTTATTTATTATTCGGTATACCTTAAAACAATTAACACCAGAGCACAGATAATTTTTGCTTTCATTTTTTGGTTTTGTTTTGTTTTTTTTTTTGTTTAGTTTTGTTTTGTATTGTTATGTTTTTTGTCCACACCACGAAGTGGATATATAACGTTATTATTTTTCATAGTTATTAATTACTATTAAATCAACTCGCGAGAGTTTAATTAAACATTTCAAATTGTTGAGAAAGATCTTAGGAACAATTTGAATTGTCTATTTATTGATACAACTCAAACGTTAAATATAAATTCTTTGACCTGAGAGTTTTTTTTTTTGTTTTTTTTTTTTTGTTTTTCAATCTGAAACCTTTGAGTCGAGTCTTCTTTAATAATGATGCAACACATAGTGCATACGTATTATTAGCTGCGTGTTGTTATAGTAAACAAGTTATAAATATATAATATGGAAAAAACAAAAGTAAAATTTGGTTACTTAAAGTGGAATAAATTTTTTTAATGCTTTTTATCATTTGAAAAATACCCCATGTGTTTTCTTCAATCCGGCCTCTCGTCAAAAAATCTTATTTTTCTTTTTGTTTACCTCTTTAGCGGGGGTCGGGTGGGGGGAGAGGGCGTTCTTATTAGCCGTTACATACCCCAAAGTTTTTAATTTTCGTGGGGAGAGTGTGGAGTCGTGTTTTTGTTGTTGTTGTTTTTCTAATTTCTTATTTGTGATTTTTTGTTCTTGCTGTTGTTGTGAAATATATTTTTTCTTTTCTTCTCTTTTTGAATGCTTCTTTAATATTTTTTTTTATGTTATTTTACTTTTTTTTTTATTCCTGTTGCTTTTTATTGCTGCTTTTGCTTGTATTGCTGCTTGCTGTTGCTGTTTGCTGTTGCTTTACTGCATTCTGCTGATGTTATTATGCTGCTGTTGCTATTTGCTTCGGCGTATAACGGGTGTCGTTGGTGTTATTTATTAAAAGGATTGATATCTGTAGTGTTGGTAGCAATTTTTACTTCTTCTTTAAGCAGTACTTTCAGTGGTGGTATTTTGCACCTGTTGACTTTCCTGCAATAGAAAAATACTATTTATAATCAATAGAATGTTTGTTATCTATGTGCCTATATGCACACACGTACACATGGCGTAACAACTAAAAACAAAGCACAATGATATAATCATTATTATTATTATTATTATTATTGTAATAATAATAATTATTGTAATAATAATAATAATAATAATAATAGCAATAATAAAAATAGTAATAATAATAATAATAATAATAATAATAATAATAATAGTAATAATAATAATAATAATAATAATAATAATAATAATAATATAATTATTAATAGAATCACGACAGCAAAGCACGAATGAAAACGAGATGGCCGTTAATCTGAAAAAATTGTAAGCAAAGGTAATAATTTAAGTACAAAGAAAGAACATCAAAGGGTGATAGGATGGAGATTTTATGCGGAAGGTTTGCGGAGGAAGAGGAGGAGGAGGAAAAGAAGCAATATATAAATATTACAAGATGCAAGAAATATTGATGACGTTTTCTACAAAGGAATTTCTAAAATGAATAATATGTCGATGTATGGAAATAACAGATAAGTTGCAACACACTCAGCAGAAAAAAGGAAAGCCACATTACCTGTGGAGCAGGGGCAGCGGCAGGTGCATCCTTATCTTTAGGTGCATCCGACTTCTGCTCCGACTGAAAAGAGTATAAACAAGATACGTGCAATAGTGGTGTGCGAAGCGCTACGCCCTTTCACAAAAAATTCATCGATGAACCCCACACTTACTAGTCTACCAACGATACAATAAACAACTATTTTCTACAATAATTTATTACAAAAAAAAAAAACAAAAAAATATGTGCCAGTAATTGATGAACTAAAAGTTAATAATAAGGATCGAAAAAATAATATATATATATACTTATAAGATAAATTATAAAATGAATATTTGTATACTTGATTTATTGAGATAATTACTGGCATATATATGTGTATTACTTTATTTGCTAATTGACTAGTAAGTGAAATTCGTCGATAATATAACATTTGTGTAGTTGCGTATATAAGATACAGAGAGAACTAGCAATTGAATAGAGTGATAAATGCAAAAAAACCCCAGGCTAGCTTTCTGAGTGAACGAAAGCTATTTATAATATGTATACTATAGATATGGTCTAACAATACGGTTCGTTCTTTCATAGCAACAGTAGAAGAAGTAGTATATCAACCTAATGAATTTTCATTAAATATTATTTCAAATGTTTCAACTATATTGGGATCAATTTGGTAACAAATATATAATCTAATTAAATTCTATTAAACAAGAATCTATTAAACAAAGCCCATTATTTCTATATTGTGTGTGCAGTAGATAATGAACAATCTAATATGAAAAGCATAATATAATAATGTGTTACCAAATTGATGGTAAATAACTATTAATATATCTATCAAATGCAATGACACTCGAGACAGATACTTTGATGTGCTTATCGGAAACTTCAGGAAGTGTCTTGGTAGTGATGGTGGTGATAATATTCTGTGTCTGGGAATTAGAAGTGGCAGGATGAATTTTGTTAACAGCAGAAGGTCGTAGATTTTCTTTATTTGCCGTCTGCTGGCTATTATTTAGTCGAGATGTTGGTACTCGTCGTCTGTATCGAGGACGTGGAATTCTTTGTACACCATCTGTTTGTCCACCCTCGCCGGCACCAACTTCGTCATCGGTCACCTAACAAGTTAACAATTGATCTACCGTACCGTAATAATTTCATCTATGCTGATCTAGTTTTTTCCAGATGTGATTAATGATCACAGAGAGAAATAGTTAATAGATATAGTATAAGAAATAATTGATAATAAATAGTAAATGATAAATCTACATAAACCATATTTTCACATCGTCCCAATTGGTTACCCTAATTTAAACGAACGATTATATACATGAAAGACAAATAAAAGGAAAGAAAACAAAAAGAAAAGAAAGAAAGAAAGAATAAAAATAAAGAAGTATAGAATTAAGAGGACATTTTACATTCTGTGCCGTTTTCAGCAAGTTGTAAGTCAAAAAAAAAGAAGAAATAGGTAGAGTAAAGAAGACTAATATGTTCATTAATCTATTACTAATATCTAAACATAAAATCAGGTGAATGGTGCTTCTCATTCGTGAACTGACACATTTAAAGATATTTGGTCGTGTAAATTGTGATCGTATGGGAGGAGAGTTATGTGCATCTGCTGTATGAATAGACATTAAAAAGAAATTAGATGATAAATTACCTGACCGTCCTGGTTGCGTGGGCGTCTAGGTGGTCCACCACCTCTTCCTCCGCGGAAGTTTCGGCGGAAGAAACGTCGTGGTGGTCCTCCACGACCGCGTCCGCCACCACGTGGAGCACCTCCCTCGCCGGTACCTTTTCCTCCTTGCTCACCACCCTCACCAGCATTTTCACCTTGTTGCTGCTGGTTAGACCCGGAATGCCGATTAGCCGGGGTGTAATAATAATCATAATTACGTCGTGGTCTATAACGACGTTGCTGGCCACCACTCTCGTTGGTATTCCCTTCTTCACCCGTTTTTCCATCAGCTAAATACAAAATGTATTATTATTATCAATATTAAAAGCATTTTTTTCACAGTTATATTAAAATATATCCTTTCTGTTCTTTTTTCGTTCTATTTAAACGATCATTCTATTTCTCAAACGATAAAATTAGATCATGAAATTAAAAAGGGCATGCATTTATAGTAATTAGTTAGTTTCTAACCGGATTCGTATCCTTCTTGTCCTTCGCGTGGTGGTCGACGTTGTGATCGAACGTTTCCACGTCGTGGATATATCCAATGACATCCGCGATAACCCCTACGTTTATCAGCAGCGTAGGGTGAACCCTTTACTGCTTCACCAGATGGTCCGGTCACATTAGCGGCTTCGTGACCCTTTTCTCCAATGACTACGTCAAATTCGACGACCTCACCATCGCCAACACTGCGCACGGCCTTTCTTGGGTTGTTTTTAATAATAGCCGACTGTAATATATAACACCAATTATTTAAATATCATTTATGGACTAAAAACAATTTAAAGAGTGTCCAAAAAATGAAAAAAATACTTACTTGATGGACAAAAACATCTTCCTTGGTGTCATTTCTGTAACAAAATTAAACGCAAATTATTTTAAAAACTTTCCTACGATAATTCATTTAGATTCAAGTTAAAAAATAGATGAATAATAATTGAGATTGGGGAGAGACGGATCGGGTCGGGGATTAAATTTAAGAAGAATAATCTAAGGAACGAAAGATAAATGTAAAAACGGATCTAGTATAAGAAAATGATTTGAAGTGTTAGAACAATATAAAGAAATTAGCGTGTGCAGTAATTGTGGAAGGTATAGGATCTTAATAATATAAATCAACGGTGTGTTGTTACATGCTAGTATTGTGAGCTCATCAAGATGGGTATAGACGTGAAACGTATGTTATACAAACATACGCTGATCCATTGGTAAACCCAGAGAAAGAGAGAAGAGAAGAGAAGAGAAGAGAGAGATAATCGAAGCCCGTGAAGCTGCAGAGTAAAGCACGGACCTGAAAGGTCATCGAACCCTAGAGCTCAGCTGAAGAGAAGAGGGGAGGGTAACGTTCGTCTCGTGTACGGAAGGCTAGCTTGCCCTTCCCCTGATAGGAATCCCTTCTCTCTCTTTCTCTCTCTCTCTCGGATATCACCGGTACACAATCTCTATGCGTATACTACGTGCATTTCCGCATAATCCTTGTTTTCATGTTAATTTAGTAAATGTACTCTACTACAATTGCTATATGCAAAGTATATGCAATCCTGTTACTACTGCATTTATATTTTCAGTTAAATTATCGAATGATTTTGTTGGGTGGTGGTTGATAGGTGGGTGAATCGCTACTCGAATTTCTTTTAACAAATTTGTAATTTTATATATATATATATATATATATATAGGTATAAAATTACACGTTTTTTTCTTTTGATTAATTATAATATGAATAAATGAAAATATTGAACAAACCAAATTTAATATATAGGATATATCATATAGGATGATAAATAATAAATTTTGAATATATGAACTTAGAAAAAAGAAAAATAATATTCCAAATAAATATGCGCGTAATAACCACGTGTGTATGCGTTTCCATTAAGAAACAAGTTGCGTTTCTTCTTAAGATAATAATATTCAAGACACGTGAGTCACACTTATGCAAGGTCGCACACACAACCATGACGCTCTTAATTGTCAAGAACGTATAGCAAAATGGCTTCTCCCTTAGTTCATCTAATTTGTAACTTAATGTAAGGTTTCAGCTAACACCGTAGTAATCGTTCAACTACATCAAATTTTTTCTAATATTTAGCTCAAAAAGAAAAATGATAAAACAAAGCTTTTCTTTTAAAGGATGATGTATGTTGTGTGTATATGTATGTGTTTCTCGTTAATATTATACTTTGCTGCTCCTGTGATGACGATCCCGAGGAATAGGAATAATATCGGCGAAGCTGAATTTCTTCTCGCGGTAAACGACGAATTTCTTGGCATTAAGCCAAATAGATAGAGAAAGAGACCTAGAAATAGCGGAGGACCATCAGCTCGATGCGATTTAGGCATCTACGAGAGCTTGTGTCGTAAAGGAACTTCTATTTCATGTTGAGTAGGAGCTTTGTCTCGAAATTGCGCATAATTTTTTTTTTTACTTTTCAATTGTATACCAATTTAATTATATTACCAAATAATATATCCTAAGTTTTAATTTATTTTCTTATTAATTATTAATCCCATTTTTAATTATATTACTAATTATTATAATTAATACGCTTATATATCATTATATTTTTTACTTTTTCTTCTTTTTTTTTTAATTATTACCCTATATTTACCTCCAAATTATTACTCAAAATGTATCCTATAAATTTATTTTGAATTATACTATATATATTATTGAAATGTTTATTCATATTTTATAATTAATATAATCGTCCTACGCATTATATTATAATCTTATCAAAAAAAATTATCTTTTCCTAGATTATTATAATCTTATATTTATATTTCTAATTAAATTTTATCAATGTTTTTCAACATACAAACTAAATTGCTTAAAAGTTAAACAAAGTTTACACTCTTAATAGTCAATTAAATGATAATTACTAACAATCAAAATTATTTAAAAAAATGATTAAGCAAGAAATTTGTGAACAGTTCTAGAAAAATATTCTTGGAAATTTACGAGAGAATACTTGAAAGTAACAGTCGTATTTTAAAAATAATATATAACGACTAGAGTCTAGCAGATTCTTAAAAATGTTATATTATAAACATTTGTTTAATGTTACCATTAGACAAATAAATGTATTAGAGCGTAGAGTAAAAATGTTGGAAAACACTAATCTATTTTATTCTATCTACCTACAATATTTCAATAATCAAACAAACTGTTAAATAAAATGCGAATTATTCAAATACAAGAAAGAAGTAGCAAATGAATTTTTGCAATACTAACCTGTTGATAAAACCATATCCACTTTTGACATTAAACCACTTCACTGTTCCCATAACCTTATTTGCTGAAAAATACAAGCATAAAAAATTGTTATTATTGGAAATAATGAACATTTATTTAGAATAAGATGGACTATATATATACATATATATATCCACACTACATATAGTACAGTATACTATATATATATATATTTGTAATATATTGTAATGTATTTGTAA